GCCCCAGGTCAGATGCTCTGACCATTGCTTGACTACAGAAGTGGAGCCCAGCCCTCAGGGGAGCCAGGCTGGCAGGCATCCCAGGCTGTCCAGCCCAAGGCCCGCATCTCATGGTGGAGACTGGGAGCCAGCGATGGGCTCCAGGGCACGGAGTTGAGGTTGAGGAGCCTGGACTGAAAGTGCACGTGTTCAGCCACCACTGTGCGCAATGCACGCAGCTCAGAGCTGGGGGAGGGGGGAGGGCAGTGCCCGCAGCTCAGAGCTGGGGGATGGGGGAGGGCAGTGCCCGTGTCCTCTGAGAGCAGGCACCTGGCCTCCACTTCCCACCAGGTGATACAACGGATCTTCTAAGTATCTGGGATGGAAAGGCACTGGTATCCTATATAATAAAAGGCTAATATGCAAATCAACCAAACAGTACGACGACCAGTCACTATGATGTGCACTGACCACAAGGGGGCACTACTCAATGCAGGTGCTGCCCCCTGGTGGTCAATGCGCTCCCACAGGGGGAGCGCTGCTCAGCCAGAAGCTGGGTTCATGGCTGGCGAGTGCAGCGGTGGTGGCGGGAGCCTCTCCCACCTCCGCGGCAGCATTAAGGATGTCCGACTGCCTTTAGTCAGACATCCCCCAAGGGCTTCCCGACAGAGAGGGTGCAGGGTGGCTGAGGGACCCCCGAGTGTATGAATTTCGTGCACCATGCCTCTAATCTGAATATAATTGTGAGCTATAGCAGAGGAAGGTGAAAAAGCAGTGACGCTACTGTATTACATGGCGACCTCTTACGATTCAAAATGTACACAGCTTCTGCCTTGGCTTCCTGGCGGGCCTGCAGGAATAGCCAGACCCCACAAGAGCTGTCTCAGTGGCCGTTGGAGAGTAAGTCATGAGCTTAAGGGTGGCGGGTTTCCCTTCCTTCATTACACCTGGCCCTCCCGGACTCCCGGATGGACAGGGATATTCCTCGACCAAAGGCATGCGAACAGCTGAGGCGTACTTGGCCTTGATGTTCAGAGCAGCGTCACGTGCACAGTGAGCCTCACAGTCTCTGGAATGCCAGGGTGTTTTCAATCCCCATTTCAGAGACAGGAACGGAGTCTCTGAAGGGCAGGACTTGTTCAGGGTCACTCGGCCAACACGTAACGATGGGGCATCGGAACACAGGCTTTCTGATTTCCAGCCTCCATGCACCTTGTCACATACCATCTCATATTAAGGGGTGCGACCCCCAACTTTCCTATATACCGTTCCCTCCCCATTATCACCCATCACTGAGTGGTGAACAATTGTCAACCTCAGCACTGCGGAGCTTTGGGGCTGGATAAGTCTCTGCTGCGGAGGGCTGTCCCGTGCACGGTGGTATGTTTAACTGCTACCACTGGACGCCGGCAGCACCTCCCTCGCCCCAGCCGAGAACCACCCTGGCACAGCCCACAGTGAGGGGCAGCCACAGGGGGTCTATGGTCCCCACTGCTCTCCCCTTTGTGAAGTAAGACTGTTGTTGGAGAGTAAACTGTAGAGCATTGCTATGACCCTGGGTACACGGTAAGTGCTAAGTAAACATCAGCTGCTCTGTCATTAGCTATCCACGTACGGCCCGTATGTAAGTCGTGGGCAAGTCCACTGCAGACCTGAGCTGTGGGAAGCGGATGTGGGAGACGGACACAGGTGGGCTGTGTGGGGAAGAGGGGCCTTGTGTGGTTTGAGGAGCACAGAAAAGGTGGGGGGTCGTTGCAGAGTGCTGACCACACTCGCTCAGGAAGGGACTGTGAAGGGAAGGACAGGCTAAAAGGAAGGGTAGGTGTGAACAAAGTTGGTTTTCTTCAAGAATTCAAGACGTATGAATATATTCTTAGCATGATAGCAAAAATATCCAGCCCCCTTGTATTCTATTCAAGTGAATCTAAGTACATTGAAATAAAGGTTGTTAAGTGAGTCTCAGTTCATTTTCTCCATAAAATGTCCCTGATATGCAAAGGTAAGATGGGCTTCTACCCTCACTCCCTTGTGACGCACGCCCCCCTCCTCCCCGCCCCTCCTTGGAGACCAGGTCCTGTGCTTTCCGACTCCCGCTGGGCCAGTGCCATGCCACGCACGTGGTAGGAGCACACGAAGTATTTGCTGAATGAATGAAGCATGATCCAGAGAGGCCGCGTGTCCAGGAAAAGAGGCCAGAGCCTGACTGCATCATTTCATTGTCACCAGGCCGGGCGGGTGGAATGAGCTGGATTGGAGGCTGGGGCTGGTTATCAAATGAGGCCCCAGCTACCATCCCAAATATCTGCCATGTGACCACAACGCTACAGAAAATTACACGCACACACACACACACACACACGCAGAAAGATTAGAGGAAAGTCCAACAGGTCTCACACCTACAGAGTGGACTCACAGGTGACTGCTTTTTCTCTAGGCGTTCTGTATTTTATCAGTTTTCTACATGGGAGCCTCCAACTGCTTTCTTCTAATTCTAATCCTGAAATTTAGACTCTGGCTGGACAAACCCAACGGGAGGAGGTGTGTCCTGCACACCTGAACGAGTCTGATGCCCCCGGCCATTCGCCTGTCCTGCCTGTCCGCAGATGGATGGGTGCCCTGTGGTGGATGCGCACAAGCGCGCCCGGGGCTTGCCGCACCCTCCGGAGGTGGCCCTGTGAGGCCTGGCCCGCTTGGCAAGCCGGGCTCCTGGGCTTATTGCAACCAAATCGAACTCTCCCAGCTCCCCTGGCAGCAGTTTCTCCAGGCCTTCGAGGAAGGAAGACAGAGTGTGGAGCAGCGAGGATGGTTGGCAGGAGTGCTGCGGAAAGGCAGCTGCAGTCCCCGAGGCGGAGCGGGCACCGTCCGGGACCCTCCATACCCGACCTCATGATCTGTGGCTGGAAGGGGGACAGGAAGACGGAACCCACCGGCCTCGGGTGAGGGCCCACCACCAAGATAAGCAGCAGCAGCAATTAGGACTTTCTGAGGAATACTGTGATTAAAGCTTGCATGATCGGCACGTTTTAGATAAACTGAATTGCCTTCAGCCGCTGTCGCGTGGGAGCGATGAGGCTGACGGCCGAAGTAATAATGAACGAAACCACCAGCGGACCCAGGGTCTGCAAGCGTCAGAGGCTGCTTCGCTGAGATCCTGCTCGGCTCTGCATGAGGCAGGCCTGCGCCCCGAGGCCCCGGGGGTCCCAGGCAGCAGCCACAGCCTCTCCTAGCACTTTCCCCGTAATTCTGTCCCTCCTGTCTTTGCAAGGAAATGAGACTGACCACAGTGCCCCCTCACCCAGTTTCTTCCACCCTGGAATGCATCCCAACGGGTTATTTCTGTGCTCAGAGACTATTAATACACACGGACTGTCAAGACAATTCTCTTCTGCGACGGAAGCGAAGCCATTAGTAAATAAATACAATATTGTATTTTATAAATCAAAGAAAAAAGCCCAACGCAGGCGCTTGGCAACGAGGGAAGCCTCTCTCTGGCACGGGCGGAGGAAGCCGGGACCGTCAGTGAGCGGAGCACCGCTCCCTGAAGCGTCGCTCCCAGCTCCCAGCGCGAGCCTGGGTGTCCTGCGTCTAAGGTCCCTTCTCAGCAAGCCCCTGAGGGACATTTTCAGTTCCAGGTCAAGGAGGGGGACGGTGCTGAGGTCAGGGTTTTACCCGAAAGACCAAGCCCCCTCCTGCCTCCGTTTCAGCCCGAGGCGTTGGGTCACTCTGCAGCAGCTTCCGTGTCCTCGCTGGGACCTGGCCCAGGGTAGCTCAGCTACGGCCGCCCCGGAGCTCCTCCCCCACAACCCCCGGACCGTCCCAAAAAATCACGGTGGAGCCAGGGGCCAGGGCAAGGGAGGCATTTTCCTGGCTCTTCTCCCTGGACCGTCTGCATCCTGGGGTGTCCCTTAGGACCGGGAGGCACTGTACACTGTGTCCCGCTAATTGCGAAGAGGGGACAGAAAAGACGAGACCCTCGCCTCTGTCGGGTTCTGTGTGTGAGCTCACTTTTTCCGCCTGAGTGTGCCCTCATCTTGCTCACAGGATGTGAGGTCCCTAGAGAACAGCTGGGCTCTGCTATCTTTTGTCCCACAAGGCAGTACTTTAGTGGAGCCTGGACTTAGAGTAGCCACTTAAAATATCCTGGAAGTTTTTTTTAAAAAATAAAATTTGCCATGAAAAATCTCTCCCAGGGCCCTCGTCACCCGGGTCAGGACTGGTCTGTGGCGCTTCCTTTGCTGGCACCGTGATTTGCATCAAGGAAAGAAATGGCCAGTGGCGGGCTCCCTCTCCCCCGCTCCCCGGCGGCGCCCCATGTCCCGCAGACGCCCGATCCGTCTGAAACACGACGCGTAAACAGTGACAAACGTCGCCGACAGGAAGCCCGTCGTCTGTCTCTCGCTTAGAAGACGGCTGCTGTAGAGTGTTAGGGCACTCCGCCCAATCTTCACACCGCTCCCTTGGGGACAGCGCCCACCTGCTGAGGGGCTCACACTGGACAGAGGTGTGACTGCAATAAAGAGGGTGCGTCCTGCACGGCACCCGGGCCCGTGAGCCCAGTGATCAGACGGAGGAACCACTTTCTTGGGGTGAAGGTCAGGACACTAAGTGACTGAGGAGCCAGATGCTTCCTTTAAAGCCAAGAACATAGGTGCTGCCAGCCCAGGGCCTCCGCCAAGAGCACGGGCCGGACGGGCCGCACCGAGCTCCCAGGTAAGCAGTGGGAGTGGCCTGAGCCCCCAGGGGCCACCTGCTAGGAAACAAGGCCTTGCGAAATGAGTGTGGACAATTCCTGACTTCCCTGAACTCACGCAGCCTCCTGGCATTTGCTCCCCCTGCTCGGTCTCCATGCCTAACTCTCAAACACGCGAGGGCACCATGAGGAATGTGGACTCTCCTGCCAATCTCCTGCCGCAAGGCCTTTACCCCCGTGTTTACCGTATCTCCCCGGGGGATGTCCAGCAGGTACTCCCACTGCCTGCCTGCGCTGTCCCGCCCCCAGCATGCTCAGGGCTGGCTCTTACCAGCTCCCCGGCGGGGCAACCGTTTCTCCACCGTCCGACTCTCCTTCCTGGGGCCCGGGGGTGGTGCGACCTTGTCCAGCTCTCCGGGGCTCACATCGGGGCCCGCGGGCGGGTACGGGAGGGTGAGGGATTGCAGAAGCGGCTTCCTGGGCAGGGGCGGCTTGGAGCCCGGCTGCTCCGATGACCGGGCCTTCCCCTTCCCCTGGCCGTTGGGGGTCCTGGTCCCCCGAATCGTGGGGGCCGCCCCCACGTGACACTTGTCATCTTTCGAGAGCAGGGCCGGTCCTCCTTTTTCTAGCCGGACCTCAGCACTGTACCTCTTGACTCCCTTCCCTTCCGGCACGGCCACGTCTCTGTGTTTGAAGGAGAGAGACGTGGACCGGAGCTTGACGGGGAAGGGGCTCCTGTCCCCACACGGGCGCGGCTCCTGGGCAGAGGGGCGGGGCTCTCTGGTGGCCGGTGTGGCCACTGCCTCCGGGGGCTTCTGCCCGGGCCCGGCCTGGCTGGCCGCCCTGCTCCCCGAGTCCTGAGAGCCACGCTCAGCGGGTGACGGTGGCTCCTGAGGCTCCAGTTCTGGGTTCTGGTGCTCCGGGGGCACCTGGAGGTCATCGAGGGCGGCCTCGCTCCTCCAGGCCGCGCTGCTCCTCAGCAGGGGCAGCCGGACAGGGCAGGGGGCAGCAACGGGCCCCGGGCGCGCCGGCCGCTCTCTGTGGCCTGTGTGCGGCCACGCCCGGCCTGAGGCCACGGAGAACTTCTTCCCGCCCCGGGGCCTGCTGCCTCCTCTCCCGGTTTTCGGCTCCGGTTCCTCCCTCTCGGCTCCCCCCTGCGGGGACTCGCCCTGCTCAGCCCTGGGGGGCTCCAGGGGGGCGGCTTCCTCGTCCAGGGCACAGGGGGTGGGCTCCTGTGGTGGTGGCTCTGAGGCGGGCGGCGTGGGGGACACGCTGAGGCTCCTGCTCGCCAGTGCCTTGTGCTTCAAGCAGCTCTTGGAGGCTGGGGGGCTGGGGGCGAGGTCCTCCGAGCACTCTGTGCCCTCTGTGCCCTCGGGACTGGGACTGGGCACTGCCAGTGTCAGCCCTGCCTCCTCTGCCTCCTCCTGCGCAGCGAGGCCTGGCCCGTCTGGACCAGGGGGAGTCTCCGAGGGGATGGCCGGTCCGGTCCCAGGAGCAGGAGGTGCCGTGTCCTCCTCAGGGACGCGGGGTGATGAACTCTCAGCGTCTCCAGAAGCGCACCCCTCCTCTCCAGCTGCGTCCTGGGAGGGTGGATGTGCGCTTTCAAGGGATGGCTCCTCCTTTTGATGTTTGCTGTCAGGGTCAGGGTGTGGGGAGTCTTCTGGCAAAAGTGGGCACTCCAAGCAGGGGGCTGGGCCTGGCACGGGCTCAGTGACCTCCGTGATCTCCGGGGTGGCCTGGCGGCTGGAGGGATCGTCCCCGGGGAGGCTCTCGTCCTCCTCGGCACTGGCACTGAGCGCGGGGCAGTGCTGCAGACGC